CAAGTTGTTTTTATTAGGGGTGTGCAATAAACCGCACAAACCGCATAAACCGCCCGCACCGCACCAAACCGCACCGCATAACGCGGTTTAAAACACTCGCGGTGCGGTTTGCGTTTTGTATTTTTGTTAAACCGCATTATGCGGTGCGGTTTGCGGTTTACGATTACAAAATTGCGGTTTAAACCGCACCGCATTGATAAAATCAATTAATGAATATATATATATATATATATATATATATATATATATATATATATATATATATATATATATATATATATATATATATATATATATATTCGAAAATAATTTGACAGGTCCTAAATTAGTGACATTATCTTAAGTTTTTGAAATGTAATATTAATTAATCCAAAATTTAATGCAAAATTTAATGGAGTGACCATATTTTTTGTCTCAAATTCATTTTCAACTAACATTCAGTGACCATTATTTTATACACTATGTTTTCTTAACTTATGTATATTCATAAGTAGTTAATGACCACAATTCTATGACCACCAAATTTCTTAATGACCACTTAGTGAGCCGTTAGTGACGACAATGATAGTATTGTCATTAAATTTAATGTAAATAATTACTCAAACCGCAAAACCGCATGTAAACCACATAAACCGCTCGTACCAAACCGCACCGCATAATGCGGTTTTGAACGTTCGCGGTGCGGTTTGCGGTTTCTAAATAACTCAAACCGCATGTGCGGTGCGGTTTGCGGTTTTGGCTCTAAACCGCACCAAACCGCACCGCGCACAACCCTAGTTTTTATATATAAAGTTACGGACAATGAAAACGTGGAAGAACAATTATTTCAAATTAATAAACTTTTAAGTATTGCACCATCAACAACCGAAGAAAATAATAATAAACCTATTGCCTATTGGAAGAATACATAAAAGTTTTCCTTAACCGTATAAATGAAAAAAAAAAAAAAAAAATACCGGAGGAGATAAAGACAACCCTAATTTATCTAATGATTAACAACATTTTTTTTTCTTGTTGTTTGTTATGTGGTTTGGAGGGTATTCCATTCACTTTAAATTAGCTGGTATCCAAACCACCCTAATCACATCATACAATATGAACTACACCTATCGTATAAAGATTTGACAAACTAACTGTGATCGGCCATCATAGCAAAGTCCTTAAATTTCTTTACTAATATTACCTATGTACTTTTTTTTTTACCTATAATACATATAATAGAAATGTACTTGCATAGTATATACACATTGTTTTTTACCCATAACAAAACATACTTATACGTGTTTCTTTATTACAAGGTTGTAAACTTTGATAGGCGCTAGCGGACTAGGGACTTAGTCACACACCATAAATTGTAAATGAACTTTAAAAAAATGATAAATTACTAATATCCTAAATGAATAGGCAAATAACCACAAACCAGACATAAATTGTAAATGAACTTTAAAAAGATGATAAATTACTAATACCCTAAATAAATAGGCAAATAACCATAAAAACAATCATATATTCTAAATGAACTTTGAAAATATGATAAATTACTAATATCCTAAATAAATAGGCAAATAACCATAAAAATAGTAATGTTTAAGTGAGTAGATATTTAAGCCATCAATCATCATACCATATGTCCATAATCACATAATAATATCAAAAAGTAAATTTAATTGGTCATCCCACTTTCTTTGAGGACGGGAGCTACATCTAAGGGTGATTATTTGGATCCATGGATCGGACTTGGACCCTTTTTTGTACCTCCAGGCCGGTTCTCGGTTCTAGCAAAACCGGTCCAGTTTTTTTATCGGTTCGATCCGGCCGGTTCTGGGTAAAAATCGGTTTTGGACCGGATAATTTTAAAAGAAAATCTTTAAACAAGCATATTTCATTCGTTTTAAGTCAAATTGACATGCAGTTTTTTCCAATGTGTAATTTAGAGTTTGTACATGATTTTATACTATAATTTTTCGTTTTTGGTGTTATATTCAGTGACTTACAATCCTTTAAAGTTTGGATATAAAAGCTGAAATATTTGAGCTTTTCAGCTATAATTTCAAACTTTTGTATTTTATGAAAATCTAAAAAAAAACATATCTCATTCATTTTAAGTCAGATTGGCATGCGATTTTTCCAACATGTAATTTAGAGTTTGTACATGATTTTAAACTATAATTTTGTCGTTATACTCACTGAAATACAATCCTTCAAAGTTAGGATATCAAAGCTGAAATATTTCAGTTTTTCAGCTATAATTTTAAATTTTTGTATTTTGTGAAAATCTTTAAACAACCATATCTCATTCTTTTTAAGTCGGATTGACGTGTGTTTTTTTTTTCCAACATATAACTTAAAGTTTGTAGATGATTTTAGACTACAATTTTATCATTTTTAGTATTATATTCAATGAATTACAATCCTTCAAATTGGGATATCAAAATTGTCAATTTTCAGCTATTTTTTAGACTACAATTTTGAATTTTATGTATCTTTGATAGATAAATCATATGAAAGGGATCTCGGTAGACTACTGGAATATTGTTACTTCGAAATGGTAACGAATATGGTGGCATTCTTTGAAAAATTCAATATAAAAACAGATATTGTTTCGGCCACATCAAAACCTTTGGTAAAATTCAAGACATACATCTAGGAAATTGGTCAACCAAACCAATGTTTCTCGAAATGGTAAAGGACATGAAGACGAAATACAATAAGTATTGGGGTGTCTACAACAAGATAAACGATTTTTTGTACTTTGCGGTTTTATAATTTTTGTTCTATTTTGATACAGTTATTACTTTTTATTAAATGTTAACAACATTATCATTTCGTGTTTATGTAGAGATTACAAAAGCTATAAATATGTTAGATTTTGATGACAAAGATATGGGGAAGAGGCCAATGGAAGATTAGATTATAACGTTTATTAGTTGGATTGATTTTAAAGTTTAAACTATGATTTTTGGTATTACGGTTATTACTTTTGTATGTTTGTGTTAAGACTGTTAACTTTTGTCGGTGAACTTGATTTATATGTTAGTTGCTTTTATTTGGAAAATTAATTTTGCAAGTTATACTATTATAGATAATGTCATTAATTAAGTTGATTCAAAGTTGGATCAAATGGTATAAGTAATCAAAAATTATTTTTGATCTAAAACGAACAATCAAACAAACAATTATAGTTCTATCGAGTCGTACCGTATCAAGCTCAAAAATCTATTCATTATAACGAGTTGTACCGAATGCACCTAAAGTTGTACCAGTTCAATGGGTTCAAGAACCAGAAAAACCGGACCTGGACACGGACCCGGTAAGCCTCAAATCGGTCTGGTCCAATGTCCACAAAATTCTACGAAACCAGTCCGGTCCAAGGGTCCGATTCAGTCCGGTCCGGTCTAAATGCTCACTCCTAGCTACATCTGGCATTTCCCTTGTTAGGCGTGAGTCCAAGATATGAGCAATAAAAAGTGATCGTTGTAGGTCATGCTATACATTATAAGTGATGAAAAGATTCAAATTTGAGCATAAATAAAATAAGAGTTCTTCAAGACGCAGACGATGCCATATTCTCCGCTCCTGGTCAATGCAAAACGCCAAAAATCTTATTAGAATTCTACGTTGCTTCGAATTAGCCTCTAGACTGAAAGTCAACATGGTCAAAAGCAGGATTTTTGGGCCAAGAATTAGTAGCGTGGAATTAGAATGGCATTTGAGAAGCGTGAACTGTTCAATTGGTAATTCCCCCTTTATATACATGGGGATGCCAATAGGTGAGAGCATGTCTAGAACGGTACATTAGAATCAACTTAGAGTGAAAAGTCCAAACAAAATAGTCCAAATAGAAAGCTTATACATTATCTTTTGAGGGTTGATTGATATTATGCAAAGCTGTCCTGGAAAGTCTAGGTTCATTTCTATTTTCACTATATAAGACACCGCTTAAGATAATCAAAACCCTCGAAAAACTAAGATGTTGGTTCTTTTGGGGTGGTTCCTTAGATAACATAAAGATGTCATTAATAGAATGGGACAAAGTTCAGTCTAAGAAAGAGGACGGTGGACTTGACATTGGCACTCTAAAGGCACATAGTGTTGCACTCCTAGGAAAGTGTTAATGGCGATTCAATTCAAGAAACACGTAAACTTTTGGAATAAGGTTATTAAGGCGATATGGGGTGCATGGGGGCTCAACGTTCCTTCGAGAGCAAAAAGAAAAGGGTTTTGTTGGGGAAGTATAGTAAATCTAGGAAATAACCTTGCCAAAGACAACATATATATTCGTAGCTTATTCCCAAAACATCAATATACCTTGAATTGAAGACTCTAGCCATCGGGGGTGTACACAATGGCCTCATTAAAGGAATTCATTGACAATTAACTTTACCAAAAACATCAACATGTGTGTGGGAATGGATCAATATTGTTCCTAGAAAAGTGAACATTCTGGCTTGGCGAATCTGTCAGCATGAGATTACCAACAAGATTGAACCTAACTAAGTTTGGAATTGGAAACTCTATTGCATGTCCTTTATGCAACATAGCTGTCGAATCAGAATCTCATATTTTAACAGAATGCCCAGTTTCACTAGATGTTTGGGCAGAAATTAGGAAGTGGTGGTACCTATTTCCCTTTTCCTTTGGCTCTTTGTCTAACATGCTTCAGTGTAAGAGGTTACTCCCCGAAAACAAAGATTTTAGCCAAATTCAAGAAGCAATTATGTTGGTATTTATCTGGGTAGTATGGAAATTCAGAAATGAAAGGTTGCATTCAAACTAAAACAAACCACAAAGTTACCTTGCAAATGATATTTAAGTTTTGTTCGTTTGTTCCTATCTCTACAGGTATAACACATGTATATATGGTCCTAAGTGATATATCTTTCATTCAAGAGGGTGTCAAGTCAATAGTGGAGTGCAGATGATATGCATATGTGCTGTTAGATACAACTAAGACTAATGTTACAAAAAAAAAAAATGGGTGCTTAAAGCTGTCAATTGATCTAGTTGAGCTTACGAGTGTTTCTTCTCAATAAAGCACTCACTGTGATAAGTAGAAATTCTAATGCAATATGGAGAGAATTACAATACAACAGGGTGGACACCATGGTGAAAGCGAAGTTTAATGAAGATATGTTGCAGTTGGATGCTCTAATTTGGTCGATTTTCCCCAAAGACAATTTATGAACGATTCTACCCTTGTTTCCAAAATGGTTGATCTGAGAGATTGTTAGTATCAATTGGTTCGTAACTGTGTTATGAGATGGATAAGTAATCAAATGTTAGTGCAAAACATAGATAAAAGAAATACAATTACAAATTGGTCATCTAAGAGCCACCATAAACGAATACAATTAGCACAGCAGGTTATTCAGGAAGATTTTGCAGTATATCCAAATGGACACGTTGTTAACGATCATATCCAGATTCTTCAAGAAATCATTACGAATTAGAACAATGAAATTGAAAAATCAACTTGTACAATTCGATTTTGCTTAACTGGCCTATATAAGAGTCAAGATCATGAATTTAAATCGAATTATTCAACGGGTTTCAATAATTATCTCCAACCGATTGGTATTTTTCAGATGCGTCGAGTTATATAGCACCTAGTGAAGTTCATAAGATTACAACAACCATGTCCAATTGAATTGTATACATGAAAATCAAACAGATCTATATGTGACAAAAATCGATTAATTTGTGCATAATGTTAAGAAACCTTTGATCCGATTGAAGAATCGGATTCTCCCTTTAGAAGCTTGTTATATTCTTCAAGCTCATCATAATATATGTCCCATACGCAGCGAACACAGCCACTGCCACAGCAATCCCCCGGCAACGGTTTCTCCGGAGGCGGAGGGATCTCCGGCGACTTCTTCGTTTCCTTTGTATCCTTAACAACGTTCAAGCCATCACCGGATTGGACTTCCTTCTTAGTATGAGAATCATCCATGGTGATGTTGAAATTGAAATCAAGACTTAGATCTAGATAACTTGTGCTTCTGACTGAAAATTGAATTGAATTGCGATGAGATCGATTAAGAGCGGTTGTGATTCGTCGAAGACTCGGGAAACTCATGGCCGATCGACGGCCAACGCCACCATGATGTCGGAGATTTGGAACACGGTGATGATTACGCGACGGCGACGGCGGCGGCGACGTCAATGTATAGCACAAGTGTTTGAATGGGGGATAACGAATAGAGAACGCTTCCATGTACTCTGTACGCCTCTTAATCAATCAAAGCCGTGTAATTGAAGAATAATCGATAAAGTTACAAAAGTAACCCTTCACTTACTCTTTTTTACAAAAATATTCCAAAGTTCAAATAATTTATTGAAAATAATACACAATACCTTTTGTAAGATTCTAATTTAAATTTACTTAAAACTTCATTAAAAATCATTACAAGATAGTTATAATATTCCGCAACCTTTTACACTCCATTAAAAATCATTACAAGATATTTAAATTTACTTTTATTTCTTTACACATAATAGCAACATGCTTATATTTTTCACTAATATTAGCGATATCAGCTTGAAACTTTTTTGTCCCCACAATGGAGTCTACTGGTTGCGGTATGGAATTCTATAAAAGATTTATGGTTTAAATATTAGCACGTCCAAAATATTGTTAGCTCTCTGTGATTTACCGTCCAAAATATTGTTAGCTCTCTGGTGATTTACCCCAATGTTATGTGCCCTGGATAGGGTTGGCATAGGCTGTCCAGATTGTGTGGTTTACCATTTTTTACTTTAAAATTTTTACCCTTTATCAATAATAGCAATGTTTTTATATTTCTTTAAATGTAATAGCAACATACTTACAATTCTTTACATGTAAAAGTATTAGATATTGATACATATCCCATATTCATATTAGACTACAATTGTATTAGATATACTCTCCATATTTCGTGAGAACCATTTTGTGTATTTAAGCAAACTCGGTTTGTCAATAATACTCAAATGATTGAGTTAATCAATAAAGATCAACTAATTGAGTTCTATAAAAAAAAACAACATAGTTGCATTATCTAGCATACATAAAATGGATCATTCGTCACACATTACATGATTACTAAAAATACACACACTTACAAATACACGATTGTAAGTTAGTTTTCATCTCATACATTGACACGCTTTTTTAATCTTTAAAATTTAAAAGAGACCATAAACATCACTTTCACCATATTTGTCTCAAGAACTCAATGGCTTCTTCAATCCCAAAAGGAGTAGCACCAATCCAACATAATCATAGTTATATGCTAACCTTAAAAACTCCAATTTGAAATTATTCCATGGTGGATGCCTTGGTTCAAGCTCAAAATAGAAGCTTCTCTCCAAAACTGCTTTTTCATGGCTAAATGCATCGAAAGAATACTTCCCATGGTACCTACCAAACCCACTTTGCCCAACCCCTCCAAATGGTAAATCATCACAAGCAAACTACAACATAAACACAAGGGTAAATCGGTCATTTAACTACATTCACTATAATAAAAAAAATACATAAATTTTGCACATACCTGAATCATGGTGTCATTAAAAGTCACACTTCCCGATGACGTTTCTGTTAATATTTGTTTCTTGAAATTTTCGTTTTTCGTGAATGCATAAAGGGCAAGAGGCTTTGACTTTGAGTTGATGAATTCAATGCTTTCTTTAATGTCATCCAACTGTCATAATTAAAAAGGACATTTTATATCAACACTACTTTTTGGAGGGCGTTTTCATCTTTTGTATAGGAGACAAATCAAGAATGTTAAAAGGGTGTCTTTTTAGCCAACCCCATGTTAAAAGGAAGATTATGCATTATTTCTTACAGTAATAATTGGAAGCAAAGGGCCGAATATTTCTTCATTCATGATCTCTGCATTCAGTGGAGGATCTAACAGGATTGTAGGTTCAATGATTCTGTAATCACATGATTAATTTTCCCAAAAAAGTGTCATAAAAAAATAAAGAGTAAATTACAAAATCGTCCCTGTGGTTGACAAGCTTTTGTGGATGTCATAAAGCATGACGAAACTACGGTTTAGGGAAAAAAGTGTTAAATGGAAAAGTACTAGACCATATCCACAAAATGTTATAAACCAAAGGGACCATTTATGTAATTTAGTATAAAGTTAATTATAATTTATGAGAAAAAGGAAAGACGATTACAAATTCTTTTCATCGAAAGAACCACCATAAACAATACAATTTGCTACAGCGGGATCTTCAAGAAGATTTCTCAATCTATCAAAATGGAACTTGTTGATGATTTTAGACATATTTTTCAAGTTTCTCACATCATCACCATAAAATGTTTTAATAGTCTTCTTCAGTTCTTCAATCTAACATCATAAAACAAAAATTGCATAAAGTAGTAAGAAATATCAACCTAGTTTCATTTATTTATTTATTAATTTATTATAACATCTTATTTTCATTTCATTCTATCATAAAAATTTAACTTCCATTGTACTTTAAAGAATCTATTTGGTTATAGCAATGAAAGTCGCTTTGTAATTTGTATTTGAATGAAATGGTTACAATTTGATATAATTTTCAAAGTACAATGTTGTAATAGGAAGAAATAAATCAAATTTTATAATGAAAAATATAAATGAAAGTACATTGATATTTATTGTATTAATTTAACCCCAAAAGAATTTGACAAAAATACCAGAGTGGTGGCAATTTTTTGTTCCACAAGCATATAATCAACACCTATGCAAGCTTGTCCACAACATGCCCCCCATTTTCCACTAGCAACTCTTTTTGTAGCCACCTTTGAAAGTATAATGATATTATAAATAAAAAGTGAAAGTAAAATGATATAATTGAGTACATTTTGTAGAACAATATCTTAATAAGAAAAAAAATTAAAGCACAATGTCGTAATATACATAAGTAAAGATTGGATGCTATATTTATAATAAAAAATATTTGAAAATGTAAAACCTTAATATCTGCGTTAGGGAGAGAATCAAAAATGGCTGGACATTTTCCTCCAAGTTCTAATGTGACTGGAGTTAAGTGCTTTGCAGCTGCAGCCATAACAACTTTTCCCACTTTTACACTCCCTGAAAATTTCATAAATTAGTAAACTAAAAATCAAGCTTAATTGAAAAAGAAAAAAAAAACTATTTTTTAAAATATTTTTCCTTATAAAAATGCTACCATTAAATATGGCAGATAAATTAAAACAAAAAACCTATCCTTGAGAATAAAACGACGTATTATTTTTATAAAAAAAATGTTGTATTCGTGGCTTTATATAATACAAACCTGTAAAGAATATTTTGTCCCATTTATACTCTAGAAGTTGGTTGCTTACTTCCCTTCCACCTTCTATAACCTTAATGGCTTTAGAGTCCAAGTAAACTGGCAATAATTTGGCAAGAAAAGACGAACAATTTGGGGCTAGTTCAGAAGGCTTTAGCACTACTGTGTTTCCGGCAGATATTGCCCCTATCAACGGGTCCAATATCAATGCTGCAAAAAAAAAATTATTCATTAGGGTTATAAAATTTCTATAAAACATGACATGACATAACATAACATAATATCGCAGGACATGACATGACATAATAGGAGATGATATGATATGGCTTGACTTGACAGAACAAGATTTGATGGATGGATGATCTTAATTTGGACAAAATTTGCAGTTTTTTGTCTTATATAAAAAGGTATGCAGAGAGTCGCTTTCAATCTCTTGGCCGTGAAAAGACGTGAAATTCCTCTTTGTTATTTTTAAAAATAACTTTATCAAGTTTGTACAACCCAATTTTGTCAAGCTCAGTTCTGTAAAGTCCAGTCCAGTCCTGTTACGTGTAACAGATGCAGCCTAAATGTCGCTTACAAATGGGGAAGTTCCAAGAACCAATGATGAGGACTACACCAAGTGGTTCGGACAACAGTTTTCTACTTGCTGGGAGGAAAAGTAGAGGTAGCCAACCCTGCCAAAAAACATTATTTGTAACAAAATAAATCATATTGTTAATATTAAGCTTGATTAATTAATGATATAATATAGTAAAATTCATGTAACATAATCCATATGCATAGAACCATTTAAGTAAAATCACAAAAAGAAATAAGCAAACCTTCTTTGGGGACATCCATTGGTCAATGCAGCTCAATGCAAGGTCAACTGATTTCTTCACTATTCCAATCTGTGAGATTAAATTAAATATATTTAGACAAAACACCCCATCTTTAAGTTCATCTACTTCTATCCCTAATTAATTACTTTTTTTTAACTTTGATTATTTAATTATTAAATCAGTTATTTTATTCCTTCAATATTGACGACAGTAGCTTGTTTACATAAAAAATTTGCGAACATTTTTTATATTGTTCAAACTATATTTCAGTAGAAAAAAATTCGAAATCAAGTGTGATTCCAGTATTAATATCATTATAATCCTAAAGCAAGATCTATCTCAAAATCAAAACACAAATATGTCATAATCATAATCATAATAAATAATCAAAAAGAGCCTATAATTTTCGTAAATCAGCTGAAATTTTTCGAAGTTTTGGCTAATAGTGTGTGTATTAAAAAGATTAGAGTTTAATAAAGACGTACTTCATCACGATATGATTCAACAGGGTGTTTTCCGAGTTCGGATTGAAGTAATTTATAGAAGTTATCTTTGTTTTCCTCAATCAGTCTGAGAATTGCTCGAAGCTGTGATTTTCTCCAATCAACGCCTCTAGTTTTGCCGCTCTTAAACGTCTGCCGGAGCTCCTCCACACTCCGTCGCACGCCGTGATCGTCCTCCATGTTCTTTCCCTTTTCTGCTCATGCAACTGCTACCTGCAATGTATTTACATTGGTCCATGTGAACGTATTTATCACAAGAATGACTTTTGTACCGATTTTAACAAGTACCAACAATGTTCAGTAGATGTCATTAAAGCGTACTAAAAGCAAGCTGCAAAAAAGTTATCTAGAATAAGTGAAACATATCTAAAATGATCGCCTTCAAATAATTTCTTTTTTAAGATTATTTTATTTAGTAAATTATTATTTATATAAACAAAATTACACTCTTGGTCCATGTTTTTCGAAACCCATTTAACGAGAGCAACTATAAAAAATTTATACATTTGGTCCTTGTAGTTTTAAAAGTTGTCTGTCTTGTCGTTTTGCTTGACTTTGTCTGGTTTAGATGTTAATCAAACCCGTATGCCATTCACACAACTCTATAATCG